TTGATTTGGGATCATCTACAAAAGGCTATCACGAAAGGGGGGGAACATTGTTGTAGGGGGTGTTATCATGCATTTGGCTTCCAAGTTTGGCTATGTGGATAATGCCACAATCTCTAGAGATTCATTGATGCATCTTGGGTGGTTATCCAATGCACAATTGATCTCTTTGGGTAACAAAGACCACAACGGAAACCAAAAATATAAATGGCATATGAAGTACCCCGAACCGGTCAAATACTTCCCCCTCCCTTGCGATGAGTTACCTAGACTTAGGTATAAGATGGAACCCGCCCACATCCCACATTACCTCCTCCCCAACAACATTCCACCCCATCTCCAAGCCCAAGCCGACCAAGCCGACCAAGCCGAACAACCCAATCCCCAACCGGAGCAACCCGAACACCAAGAGGACTATGGACACTTCCAACATGACATCCCCGACCCTCCTCAAAATCCGCCACCACAAGACTTTTTCCAACAACTCTTGGAGGGTCAACAATCCCTCCTAGCCGGGTTCCAAACAATGAGCCTTGATTACACCAAAATGGGAGAGCAATTCACCCAACTTCAAGGAGAAATAGGCCATTACCGGAACGAGCAACAAGCACGAGACCGGCAATTTGATGCTTACCGGGAAGAGCAACGGTTGGCTTTTCAAAGGATGGAGGAGCAAAGGGCGGCCGACATGCAAAGGTATGAAGAAGACTACCGGAGGATGTATGGGCCGACATATTCATACATGTCCCAACTTGGCGGGTTTGCCTCCATGGCCTCACCTCCACCGGCACCTTCTTGGTACAACCCCTCCGATTGGGGTAATTTTGGCGGCTCGAGTTCCGGCGGTGGTGGCTATGATGGCGGGGATACTACCATGGGCGAGGGGGGCGGTGATGACATGCATGGGAGCGGTTTTGGCGGAGGCTACTATGGTGGAGAAGGCGGGCACTAAGGATAGTGCCATGATTCAAGTGTGGGGGAGGAAGATCATCTTTTGGTATGTACACCCCTTTGTTTTTTTTTTACCTTGTACTACGCATTACTTTTCTTGTTTTAGTTGTACACAAAAAAAAAATGTAATAAAAGAAATGAAATGCTAGTTAGGTTGAAAACCCAAAAGGGCAATCTAAGCAACAAGGGCTTACAAAAATGATGAGTGAGGGGTAAGGAAAGAAAAAAGCAAAGAGATGCTAGGATGAAAACCTGAAAAGGCTCCTAGGCAAAATGAGAGATATGAGAGAAAAATTTGTTTTTGCAGGACACTATCTCTTGGAGAGGCAGAAGAAGAATAAAAGAAGAAGAAGAGAAAAAGAAGTAAGGGGCATAGAAGACCATTAAACCCAAAGAGATGTTATTTTGTAAACTCATTTACAATACTTGGTGGTTTTAGTTCCTTATTTCTTCCAAATTTTGAACTCATGATCTTTTGACAAACATTTTGTAAACATTTGGTTTTACTCGAGGTCGAGTAAAGGAACTAAGTGTGGGGGAGTTGACACTCATGTTATTTCCATGTTTATATTTGTGTTTTTGATTAGTTTTGAGTGATTGTTACTCTAGAAATTACACACTTTTGGTGTAATTGTTTAGTTTGTAAAATGTTTGTAAAGTATTTAGATTAGGTTGGTTCTGAGCTCAAACAGGTCCAAGACCACTCTAGGGACCATTGGTAAACATCACAAATGGAAGGAAGGTGCAAAGATTTCAAGAAAAGATGAAGATTCTGATTTTTGGTAGTGTACCCGGTCGAGTATGCTCTATACCCGATCGGGTAAGTGGCTGAAAAGTCAAATCGAATCAACCCGGGAACAAGGCAACATGCAGGAAGATTTTTAACTCGATCGCGTATCCATACCCGATCGGGTAGCCGACATACCCGATCGGGTATGACCCCAGATTTTCAGTTTCGAGGAAACTAACCCTTACCCGATCGGTTGAGCTGAAAACCCGATCGGGTACACGACCCTGCAGGCCTAAAAAGCCTATAAATACACCCCATTTCCTCCACAAGAAAGACACCAATTCCTTTATACTCTTAAGCTCAGTTTAGAATAGCATTTCTCTATATTTCTTTTAGCATGTTTAGTCTCCAAATGAGGAGCTAAACTTCCATTTCTTGGTTTTGCTCTTGAAGCTTGTTGATTATTAAAGTTGTGAGTTATTTTCTTAACTTCTCCTCTTGATTATTAATTTTTCCCTTAATCTCACTCTATATCAATGTTGGAGGGTTGCTAAGTGACGATTAGTTAACGTTTCGACATTGATTATTACTAGAAACGATCAACGAACCAATGGTTAATCGTTGATGGTTTCATAAGTAAGTAACTTCGGTTTATTAATGCACGGTCGTGGTTAATAAACTTAAGAGGGATTAATTTTGTTGGTTAAACCGAAACCGTTGTGTTGAGGTTATCAATCTTAATTGATTTCATCAAGGAGTTAAAAGAGGTTAAATGCTACTATTGTATCGGTATATGGCGTTGTTCTATATTTGATTAATAGTAAGGGTTATTAATGAACGGTCGTTGTTAATAACTACCCTCGATGAATTGGATATACTCCTCGATTGAGTATTCGAGAGGGGATAAGTTATAGATATAACAATGATCGACTAAAATATATCAACAAGTGGAAAGTGGCAAGACCAAGCCCCTTTTATTCTTGAATTTAATCCCATATAACTCGTTCATCTTCGTGTTTTATTTAATTAAATCACTCAACAATCAAAACCCCCCCTTCATTTACTATTTATATAAAAAGAAAGTTAATCCTTTCCCTGTGGATACGAACTCTACTTCACCTATACTACGTATAAGTGTTAGTATCGATTTATTTTGAGTGCACTCACGACAAAGTGCACGTCAACAGTCCCTCTCGATAGAGCGCTACTCACTGCTCTTCTTGAGCGTTGGAGGCAGGAGACACACACGTTTCACCTCCCTGTTTGTGAGGTGACAGTGACCTTGAGAGATGTTTCTGTACTGACTGGGTTACAGATTGATGGGAGAGCTGTGATTGGTACAACTTGTCGACAGTGGGTTGATGAGTGTGAGCGTTTGTTGCGTGTTCGCCCCATTCTTCGGACTGACCTATAGGGGTCATCTCTGAGGATGTTATGGCTGAGGGAGCATTTCACTGAGCTTCATCTGGACGCCGATGAGGTGATGATCCAGCAGCATGCGCGGGCATATATTTTGATGATGATGGGAGCTTCCATTTTTGTTGACAAGAGCGGAATTGAGATTCAGGTGTTGCACTTGCCTATGCAAGAGAGGTTTGATGTAGCAACACAGTTCAGCTGGGGTAGTGCCACGCTGGCTTATCTCTACAGACAGCTGTGTCGCGGCTGCCATAGAGGGAGCACGAAGCTTAGAGGATTTTTGCTACTTCTCCAGATTTGGTCATGGGAGTACATCCACATTGGACGTCCCATTTTAGTGGCATACCATGGCATTGATGGACACCCACTGCCTGATGAGCCTCCACATCTCCTGGGACTAGGGCTGTTAACGAACCGAGCTTTTATCGAACTATTCGAACTCGAGCTCGGTTTCGAACCTAACGAGTCGAGCTTAACGAGCTTTCGAACTCGAACCCGAGCTGAGTTTTAAGTTCGAAAAATTAATCAAGCCGAGCTCGAACATAGTAGTATTCGGCTCGGTTCGAACTCGAGCCTATCAAACACCCAGAAATTATAAATATAATTTATATATAATCAAAAATTAAATTTAATTAGTATGAATTTATGAATTTAAATATGTTTATTAACGAACCGAATACTTGTCGAATCATTCGAGCACGAGCCTATTAACGAGCACCACCTAAAATTTTAAATTCGACCATATTTATCGAGCTTATCGAGCGCTCGATTCGAACATCGAACGCCTATCGAGCCGAACACGAACCTCATTTGTAAAGCTCGTCGAGCTTCGAGCTCGAACCCGAACACCATTAATTCCTTATCGAGCCGAACTCGAGCTTTAGGTGTTCGGGCTCGGCTCGGCTCGTTAACAGCCCTACCTGGGACCACATCATGTACTGGGCGGGGACCCTCTGGGCCGTCGGTATGTTTTAACTCTTTTGTATTTATGTTATTGTATGTTGAATATAAATATATTAATAATATTCATATTCATATATGCTACATAAATGATTAGATAGCTATTTGTTGGTCTATCTTGCACGTCATCGGCTTCTGGGCTTGGTGTGTACAGGGATGCATTTGATCGGATGTCTGAGGATCAGGTATAGTGTGTGTAATATAACATTAACTATAATATGTACAACATAAATACTAATCTTGTATCTTTATGAAACAGATTACATGGTTGCCATTTACGGCTGAGATGTTTGCAGAGTTGGCCTCCACTGGACGAGAGCATTCTCACATATCGCGAGCACGTCTGCCGTTGATATGCTTTAACATCGTTGAGCTGCATTCGCCTGATCGTGTATTGCGACAGTTTGGGTTTGAGTAAGTCATTCTGGCACCTATCGACACGTATGTAGAGCTTCATAGGCTGGATAGGCGTGGGAAGCATACGGAGGATTGGGCAGTGAGATATGTCTGATATGTCACTCTCTCGGACAGGCGAGCTGAGCTAGTTGTGACTGGGACACCGACATTTGCCCCATCTGTTTCAGGAGACTACATGGGATGGTATTACAGCATCACTCGTTTGTTTGTGTCTCCTTCGTTCAGATTCCCTACTCGCCATTACCAGCCTAGTTCCTTGGCTTTGCATCTTACGGTGAGTATATTACTAATTACTAAAGTAAGTCATTTTCTTTATTTAATACTTTTATTTATTTCTAACTAATTGTAATTGTGTTTCATATTTCACACACGAGCTCTGCAGCGTATACATCAGCGGGCTACTGCCACAATGAGTGATACGTAGGATGTGGACATGTACGGTCAGGCTCTGACGGGCATTGCCTCCTTGTGTTCAGATGTGTTGGGGCGAGTCGACTACGGCTATCTTATACACATGCCCTCATACTCTTGCATGAATGTGTTGTACAAAATTATTACGAAGATACTAGCGGCGAGAATTGTCCCTACCCTACCGGGTTTAATTAATGAAGCACAAGGTGCTTTTGTCGATGGCCGCCTAATGTTTGATAACATTTTCCTAGCCCAGGAACTTGTTAGAGGATACAATAGGAAGCGAATCTCACCAAGGTGTATGATCATGGTGGATTTGCGAAAGGCCTATGACACCATATCATGGGACTTTCTCCGTAATGTCCTATTGGGACTGGGTTTCCCGGCCACATTTGTAGGCTGGATTATGGAATGTGTGTCAACCGCATCATTTTCGGTCTCTTTAAATGGCTCTTTGTATGGTTTTTTTAAAGGCAAGCGTGGCATACGACAAGGGGATCCAATGTCCCCTTTTCTTTTTGTCTTATGCCTCGAATATTTCTCTCGCCTCCTCACAATGAGGACTAAGCAGGGGAGTTTCAACTTCCACCCACAATGTTCGTCTCTTGGTATTACGCATTTAGCCTATGCAGATGACCTAATGCTCTTCTCGAGAGGTGACACATATTCCATAAGAATACTGGTTGATGCTCTCAAGGAGTTTGGGGATGTATCCGGGCTTAGGGTAAACCATGACAAATCCAACATCTTTGTTGGAGGGGTGAGGGACTTGGAATTACAAAACATCTTGGATCTCGTTGACTATGGGCAAGGCACGTTCCCGGTTAGATACCTTGGAATCCCCCTTGCCCCCTTAAAGGTCTCGGTTGCACAGTATGCACCTCTAATTGAAGTGATCCAGGATTTCCTAAATGCTTGGAACACAAAAACAATATCCTATGCTGGGAAGATTGAGCTAATTCGGTCGGTAATCCAAGGAGTACAATCGTTTTGGCTCCAAGTCTTTCCGGTCCCCCAAGCTATTTTGGATAGAATCGTTTCCATTTGTAGGATTTTTTTATGGGGAGGGAAGTTTGCAAAAGTCGCATGGGATGATATATGCCTACCAAAGGCCGAAGGTGGGCTAGGTATCCATAATGCGAAAGTTTGGAACCATGCACTCCTTTCACGCCTTATCTGGGACGTTCATAACAAAAAAGATTCCTTATGGGTTAAGTGGGTCAATGGTGTCTACCTCAAAGGTAGAAGTGTGTGGGACTTTGTCCCACACAGCCGGGATTCCCAACTAATGAAGAGATTGGGTCTAATTAGAGACAAACTGAAGGGATGTTTTAACAATCTAAATTAGGGGTGGGCATGGGTCGGGACGGTTCGGGATTAGGGTTATCCCGGTCCCGTCCCAATTAATAATAACGGGACGGGACGGTACGGGACAAGCCTTTGTCCTAGTCTTGTCCCATTTAAATCGGGACCGGGATGGTTCGGAACGGTTCGGGACGGTTCGAGACGTCCCAAACTAACAAAAAATAATCATTTGTAATTAATATATATTAGCATTTCTAAAGTATCATGCACCAAAATATTAACATTTTAAAAGTTAATTGATGTTCATCACAAGCTAAAAGCTACTACGTATTAGATTTTAGTTAGGTTTAGCAAAATTTTAAATTTAAATTTAAAACAAAGCAAAAATGAATTAGTTTATTCAAAATCATGTGTTCTAGCTATGAGATACTCATATGTAGATATATAAAGTGGGATAAAAATCGATGTTAGTAAATATTCATGTTAGGTATTATTTTTAATTTAAAATTTGGGCTTGAAGAACTAAAAACATGTTACCATTTATTTTTTGAGTTGACATTACACACTAGTCACATGCTACAAAATCTATATAGTTATTACAAACGGGACAACGGGACGGTTCGGGATAACCTTCCAATGTCCCGGTCCCGTCCCGTTTTAAACCGGTACGGGACCGGTGCGGGACAAAATCAATGAGACCCAAACGGAACGGGACAACACCGGTACGGTTTCGGGATATACCGGAATGGGACAACGGGACCGGGATTCTTGCCCGCCCCTAATCTAAATGATACCATCCTTGGCCTCAATTCAAGGGCCATAAATGGGAAATTAATCTCTGGAAAATTATATGATCTTCTAAGGGTAAAGGGTGTGACTAGGACTACAATGAACTTCATTTGGAAATCCTATGTCCCCCCGAAGTTTTCCTTTAACGTATGGTTGGCTTTGTGAAACCGGCTTCCTACACAGGATAACCTCGGTTACTTATATATTGTCAATAGGTGTGATTTGTGTAAGGGTGGATTGGAAACAATTCCACACCTATTTTTTCAATGTCTTTTTGCAGGTAGGGTATGGACTCAAATTAGAAATTGGATGGGTTTTGGCCACCAAATGACCACCCTTTTGAGCTCAATAAAGTGGATCATGAAGGAACATAAAGGCTCAAGGCTAAAGGCGAAGGCGGCAAGATTGGCGTTCTGTGCCACGGTTTACTACGTTTGGCGGGCTAGGAATGCGTGTAGATTTGATGGAAGCATGCCAAAGGAAGAAGAGATCGTCGTGAAGATAAAGCATGTGGTGTACAAAATATTGTACTCTCTATACCCACATGACTTGATTGGATTTTGAAGTTTGGACATGTGAGAGAACATTAGGAGGCCGCGGCATACGACTTGGACTTTAATGGTTGCAATCCGCAACACCATGGCTATTTTTTTTGATTTTATGACTTTGAGGTGATCTGTGTGCGTGCATATTGGCAGCATCGATTATTTTTTATGTTTGAGGCATTTAGTATTGTATACTTAGGCCTCTGTTTTTTGGAATTAGATATAGATCGAATAAAAAACCTCTCTTCACCCCTACACTAGGTAGGGGTGGGGGGGGTTAGGAGATCTAGCTCTTAGTTTTCTTTGATGTACAGTTTTTCTTTGGGTGCTAATATATATTTACATTCATCCAAAAAAAAGGATATGCCATCGACATCTAGTGCATCGGCGGCTTCATCATCCCAGACTCAGCATGAGAGAGTGGTTCTTCAACCACGACAACGGCGTAGGCGTAGGCAGCAACAACAACATCTCCATGACCAAGACGATCTAGATGACCATGACAATTTGTAGTTTGTCCTTTGTATTTGAAGTTTTCACCCCAAATTGAGCTGCAACCCAAGTATAGGAGGGTCTTGTAGTGGTTTGGGGAAACCTTTTGGGGTGGGGATTTGGACGCTGGATCCACTCACGAGGGCTCCATGAAAATTCAAAACCCCAATTTTCTTTAAAATGGTATAACTTTTTTATTAATGATCAAATTTTTATACATAATATATCAAAATTCATAATTTTTTATTATCATTCATATGACACCAATATCATATATATAAAGTTAAAAGAAACATATGAGGTTTCATTTGATGGAGATCTTTAGATTCAAATTTATTCTTTAGTAGATCCAAATGTTAAAATCAATATCTCGTGGATAATTTTTTTACATCTTATGGTTATGTTTTTAAAATAAAGGTCTGAAATAACAAAAAAATAAACTCTAAATTTATTTATTTTTACATTGAAATGTTTGACTATTTAAATCATAATTATTGATAAATAATTGTTGTTGTCTGTAGTGGTCTGAAATAATTATTTTGTTATTGTTATAGTTGTTGTTGGTGTTATTAATGTTATTATTATTATCAGTGAATCAAATCACCTTTAAAAGTAAAAAGAATTAGATAGACTTACAACAGAGTTTCAGATGATTCCTGAATAATATCTTTATAATATGTAAGTGACTCGAAAATATAAACATACTTGAATTTGGCTACTATTGTGGAATGTTTGACTATTTAAATCATAAACAGAGTTTCAAATGTGTGACTATTTAAATCATAATTATTGATAAAAATAAAATTGTCATATAAAAGATGTGTATTAAGAAGTGTAAGGATTTGTGCATTTAGTTATAAAAAATGTGCTGAGTGAATATATTGACGTTGCTGGGTTGCAGGAAAAAATTGGATTGATTGAGTGTATACGTATAAAATGGTGTGGTATTAGATTTATTGACGGGCTGGGTTGCGATTAGCATAAGGGGTGTTTGGATCTGATTCTGCTTCCTGAAGGAGCAGAAGCAGAAGCCGTAGTAATTGGATGAAAGTGTAGAAGTGAGTCTGGTGTTCTAATTTATTCCTAGAATCAGTTTTTTTTAGAAGTTGGGGGAACCGGCTTCTGAAAACTGATTCTGATTCTATTTTTTTTAAAACAGAAGCAGAAGCAGAATCACTTTCAAACACCCATAAGTAATGTATTTAAAAGTAAAAACCAGTACTTAACATGGATCTTCGTATCTAACTCTTTCCGACCTTCCATGTACTCCGTATAATGTAGTTTTCCATGTCGCCTATTTTCGTTGGAAAATTTGAATAGAAAGTCAGAGACCTAGGAATCCGGGATTTTTAGTGGAAAATTAGTTCATTGCTTTATGTATCAATTCGAATTCGAGAAAGTTAAACCATAGTAATTATTTTGTTGCTGAAATTGAGTTCACTTAACATCATTGAAATATCTTTAACAAAAATCTGTATTTTGTCAAAGAAAAATTAAAGTGTTACGGAATATCATAATGATGTTTTTGTTTTGGTCTTTATTATCTTCTACCTAAAAAATGAAGTGTTAAGATTTTGGATTAATATTTTAAAATTACAAAATAATAGGGGGAATAGTTAAAAGTATTATAAGGTTGTTTCTTGTTTGCCTCCAAATATATGGGATGACATAACATGTTTACATGTCTCCACAAGATAGTACTCCGTAGTAAGTTATTATGGCAGGTTAATCTTGTAGAGCCCGTTTGGTAGCACCAAAATCGGCTGTTTTGGCTGATTCTGCTGAAATTTATGATATTGTGGCTGGAGTGGCTGTTTTGGCTGATTTAAGAAAAAAATATTTTAAAAATATATTTTATTAATAAATTAAAGAAAAAATTATATGTAAAAATAGCTAAAATGGTCCTCTACAGTAACTTCAGCCAATACAGCCAGAAAAGTAACTCCAACCTTACTTTTTCGGCTTATTACACAATTTAGCGTGCGAAAGTAAAAGTTACGTGTTTGGTGAAAAAGCTGGCTGATAAGCCTGATAAGCCGAAAACAGAGTTCTCCAAACGGGCTCGTAGTCTATATGCTACCGTAGTACTCATTAAGACTTAAAAAGCGTATTTGGTGACCTTGTGTTTCTCCTTGTCAATTTTATCAGTCACTTTTTTCACCAAATACATAATTTTTTTTCGTGTGCTGAATTGTGTAATAATCAAAATAAGTAAAGTTTAAATTATTTTCCGACTGATTTGGTTTAAGTTACAGCAGACGATAATTTTAGCTATTTTACATTTTTTCTTTATTTTATTAATAAAATATATTTTAAATATAATATTTTCATAAATCGACAAAATCAGCCAATCAACACAATCCAGTCACTTCATGAGTGGTTTGACACGTTTGCACGCCTTAGTAGGGGTGCAAACGAGCCGAGCCGAGCCCGATTTTCTACAGGCTCGAGCTCGAGCTCGAAATATATAGCTTCAGCTCGAGCTCGGGCTCGGCTCGAACGAGCCTACAAAATTGCGGCTCGAACTCGACTCGCAGAAGGCTCGGTTCGACTCGGCTCGGCTCGAGGCTCGATAACCATTATGATGCTCCATAATAATGAGTCCGTAGTAAAAATTCACTGTCATCGGCCCATTCTAAGTTTTTCTACTGAGTAGTAACGACCTAAGCCTAAAATATTATAAAATTTTACTAATCAGCATATATTATATACTCCCTCCGTCCCCTTTTAAATGTCCCGTTTTACCATATTGGGATGTCCCTATTTAATTGTCTCATACCTTATTTGGTAAAGTTTGTGTGGTTCAAAATTATTTTTACTTTATTCTTACTTTATCAATTAATATCAATCACACAAACCCACTTTTCTTAAAACTCGTGTCATACTCTTCCGAGACATTTAAAAGGGGACGGAGGGAGTATATCATATATATTACTCCGTACATTATAACAGTATACATTATATATTAATTTATATTGCATAGTAATATATTATATATGATTATATAATATATATATATTATAAATATTCACATATAAAATTAGGCTTGCGAGCCGGCTCGCGAGCCAGCGAGCCTGAAATTAGAAGGCTCGAGCTCGGGCTCGACTGCTTAACGAGCCGGCTCGAGCTCAGCTCGAGCTCGAATTTGACCGATCCCGATTCGAGCTTTGACCGAGCGGCTCGCGAGCGGCTCACGAGCGGCTCACGA